CATAATATTTTCGGTACCTAATGGCGTTTGTCGTCCGACTACACTACGCGCGGTCAGTGGACGTCACACTCAGCCGGTGTTCCCGGTATTTTTTTTTTTTAATAAATAATATTACGATGTGGAACGCAATATTAGAACATCGTCGTCCACCCCCGTGATTTATCGTGAACTGGATAACAGCTATCAGACTAGAATACTGTGGATCGCTTCCTCGGTCCTTATCGAACATCGATCGTCAACACAAATATTGTAACACTCGCGCGTATAGATGAGATTGCAATATACCGTCGTAGGGAATTCGGTGTACCGGCGTCGGCCATCCGACGAAATCGAGCGAAAATGTTTATATCAGTGTTGGTACACGGTTGCAGACGAATGGAAAACGTTTAAAAAAAAAAAAAAATAAAAATATTATACACCGACGAAAATCCGCGTTTACGCGATTTATAATATTGCTAAAAGAACGAAACAAGTCCGGCGTTAAGTGCGGATTCGGAGTGTTGTTTAAACATTACCGATCTCGTTGAATTAATACATAATTATTCCATCGCGGCAGGGTACAAAACGATTATTGTAAAACAATAATGTAAAATTGTTCGATGTATACAATATTAATAAAACGGCTTTTCCACGCGATTTGTTTGGTTTAGGGAAAAAAAAGAAAAAATTGAAAATTACAGACCGGTTAAATTTAAATCACTACTGTTAACGGTCGTGATTTCACGAAAACCGTCTTCTGGGCATAGTATTATATTATTTTTAAATGAAAAAAATAAAATCTTACTTCTTCTAACGAACAAACAACTATAATAATTCTCGACAATCTCGATTCTTGATCAAATATTAGATATAAACCCAACAAAAAAAGCCATGGAAAACACTACGACGGAATAAACACCTAGATTACCTATACCACCTATATACATTTATCTGGAATTATAATAAACTATATCGATGATAAAACAATGTAGTGATTATAAATTAATATAATGTTTAGTAAAAAAAAAAAAAAAAATCTAACTTTGTAAAACCATAAGCTTCTTCGCTCCACTCAAAACCTAAAACTATAATGAGCACTATACATATATATTTCACTATCGCTTGCAGATAAAAATTTAAATATATTATTTAATAATGTGATTTAGGTTCATTATTATTTTATTATCATGTAATAGACGTGTAATATTTAGAAAATTAAATTTTAAAAATAAAATATTTTTGTGTATAATATTATATATATATATATATATATATATATATATATATATATATTAAATTAATGATAAGTAGAGTAATTTAGAGAGGTACGATGTAGTTTACGTATTTTAAAATGTTGTTCCAATAGGTTCAAAATTAAAAAACGGACAAACGTCATAATACAATGACGCCGGACCATTCGGATCATAAATAAGAAAAATAAATATTATTATTAACGTTTCGAAACTTTTCTAGGGCGGATTTCTAAACTGGGGTCGACATCGTAACGAGAATTTTATTAAGGACCACACAGTACCAGGAGAACATGAGGACCTGTGTGCGCTGCGGCGGCGAAGGCTGCCGCCGACGACTCGTCGCGGAAATATCGTTCGGCCACCGACCGCTACGAATAATCACAGCAATCACGTCCGAGTCATGCGCTCCTGGTATATTGGAGACTATTTTGTATGACGTACGTCATAAGTAAACGAATAAAATTTTGGTATATTTGATAATTTGGTATAACCGAATTCAGTATATTTGGTTATAACCGAAAATACGATACTTAGATAAACGAATCATTGGCCATACGGATGTTTTTCGTATTGTATTATATTCGTACACATGACGTCATTATATAATGACGTTTATCCGTATTGTAATTTCGAACCTATACGAACATTATTTTAAAATACGTATACATATGTACATAGACACGAATATAACGTATATTCTAACTTACTATAAGAACATTTATTCTATAATAGATAATTTAATGTATACCTGTAAGCAACGATAAACCATTGCTTACGAAAAACCGATTCTGAGCGGAGTTCAGTTGATAATGATGCTTTGTCATCAATATATTTGTCATTTTATAGTAAAATAATTAAATAGACTTTATATATTTTCTTTAAACAAATTTTTTTAGTTGTACCGATTTTCACGGTTTTCCTACGTTTTTCCCGGTTTTCCTATGTTTTATCTCAGTTTTTCACATTTGTTGGGAAAACTTCTGAAAAAATCGAAAAATGACCTGCACTGCTATTATTAAAAGTTGGAGCAAATCTTCTGGTAGAAAAGTTGTTTACAGATAAAAAAAAAATTAAAATAAACATCTTAGTAAAACCATCTTCACTCTTCACTCACAACTTCGCTCCACTCAGTATCTAAAATATCTAACTAATTTTGTAATATAAGTAATCAGTTTACTATACAGTTATTTATATAAGTTCAAATTCAATGTAGCTGATAGTATAATTATTACATTCGTGTAATCATATTATAAAAAAAAAAAACAAGAAAATTAGAATTTTTTACATTTTTTAGAACATTTTCTTTCAGAAAAGGTGCTATACTTGATAATAGGAGTATACTTTCTGGTAGAAAAAGTTTTCACATAAAAAAAAAAATAATAATAAACATCATTGTAAAACCTATACATTCCTTGTTCCACTCAGAATCAAAAGTAATATTAAATATCATAACTAGAGGGGTGTGTGCTGATAGCCCTTTACATATTTTTCTATAAATTACCCACAACTACCCCTACCCCCATTTTAAATCATGAGAACGCCACTGGTAGGAAGTAACGATTAGCCATTGCTATCAAAAAACAATTCTGAACAGAGTTCACTAGATAGTGTTATATTATATAGCACATATGACAAATTATGGTAAAATTATTAGTTAGGCATTATATATTTTCTTTAATAATATTTATTTAATGTTGTAGCTATTTTTTCGTTTTTCCAACGGATTTCCTATGTCTTTTCCCGGTTTTTCCCATTCATTGGGAAAAATAAGGCCGAAATATTTTTCAACTAATATCTACATTTCGTACATTTTCCCGTTTTTTTCACATTTATTAGAAAAACTCCTGAAAAAATTCAAAAATGACCTGTACATCCAGCTATCTTCCCAATCAGTTGCATGGCAAGTGATATTTAATTTATGGATACCATCTATTAGAAAACAAATTATCTGGTAATAAATTTAGTTCACCGATCGAGTTTATTATAGGTATCTCTATCCATCTGAATTTTGTATACACCCAAATTATAATGATATTGGTTCCACAAACTGTTTCAAATTTTTAGCAATAACTTTGGTCACTGACAACTGTCCACTTCAACCTATGCTCGTTACGCCACTCATCCTAACTACCACATCCTACACGGTGGTCTTTCTGTGAACAATATCAATTATTTTTAATATTTTTAAAACTTTTGAAAATATTTGTTTCCAACAATAGTCAACCCATGGACGGTTTCTAGTAGGAAATTTTATCTGAAAATCGGTGGGTGGAGGATGTAACTTTTTTTTTGATATTCCTTGTATAAAATATAATAACGGGAAAAAATCGAAGAAAAACTGCGCTGGAAAAAATGTCATAACATACCGATTTTTGAAAAATAAAGATAGGTTTTTTTTATAATCAAGTGAGAAACGGCCATTTAGATTTTAGACCATACCTTTTCATCGAATACTTATGCGAACAGATTCTAGACGCATTGTAAATTTCGCGTGGAATCAAAAATTCCATTTTGGATGAATTAGGTTATAATACCTATGTACCTAAGTAAAGACCATAAGAAAACCGATACGCGGACCCGTGTCGAAACCGCACGATTTTACAAAAACTGTTGATTGCGTGAACGAAATCGTCACTTGATCGGGTCACTGGACATTATAATATATACATAGGTACCTGTATATTATATAGGAGGCCTCAAACAGATCCGATGAAAATTTTAAAAAGTAAAAAAAAAACCGATATTGACGGTCGAACGTCCTAGAACGTCGTGCCGATGCGAATAAAACGGATTTTGTCGCGGTCAATTAAATTATGGGTACTTACCTATACACGATATTATTTTGTTGTGTACGCGACTAATTATTGTTCGGTCGTAACCGCTAAACGGACGACAACGGCCTTCACCGTATTTGGTTTCGTCGAGAATTTTTAAAAATGATTTTGATATTTTCGAGAAATTTAAGGTTAGGTTTAGCTGTTGGCCGAAAATAAATATCTTTTTATATTTTTCACCCCAGAGCCTACAACAATTCCTTTCAATATGGAAAATTGGATTTGATTTTTTTTTTTTTTTATTAAGTCTTTAGCCAGAGTAGTAATATTGTACGTCTAAAACAGATTTTACAGTCAAATTACGGGTGGTTCGCGTCCTCTTAAGAAACATTTAAACAGGTGTGTTGTTATAACATAACATTACGTAACATTATATATTTAACAAATTAAACCACACATTCTAAACTTTTTTTTGTTCATGCTGATAAACCTATTGTTAATGTTCTACTCAGATATTTCAAAATCGCAATGGTTTCGTAAAGTACCTACAAGTAATAACAATTATGCCTGCGAGCCATAGAAAATCTGCGCTAAACCGCGCTTGCACTAACCATATAGTCACTATTATAATATTATGATCGTTAATTGTTGATTGTTGATTTCTCAATCGATGGCTAATTGATGGGGATCAAAATTTCTACGGATGGCATGACTCGGAAGGCCTATAGACTTAGGCTTTATTCGACGTAAAATCATGGGGTGTTGGGGTAGCAAGCATATTAAAAAATATTTTTAATTTAGTTGTGGTCTAATAAAGTGTGAGACCATCGATAAATAATAGTCATTCGTCCATGTGAATTAGGTAAAAATATACCTTTCAAATAATATTAAAAATATATTAGATGCATAATCAGTTGCGTGTAATATTTTTACAAGTTAAAATTTAATACAAGCGATAGTATAATAATTATTGTATTATTTTGATCGTATTATAATGAAAAAGGACGAACATATTTCGCACGTGAGTGCAGCCACTGTTGTAGATGGGAAGTTGGATAGGTAAGATACAGACAGGAATTTAATGTGTTTCTATAAGCAACGATAAACCATTGCTAACGAAAAAACGATTCTGAACGGAGTTCAGTTGATAGTGTTGCTCGCTTTATCAACAATACAATATATGGTATATGACATATTATGGTAAAGTGATTACAATATGCGTTTCCATGACAATAATGATTGTTTAAAAAAGATTAAAATAATAAAAACTTAATAATAACAAAAAATAAATAAAAATGGTTGCCAAAGATAACTTTATTTTTAAGCTATTGGTTTTACAATGTTGTTTATTTTTTCTTTGTTCTTTGTTCTAAGCTGTGGATACGTTTTTTCCTAGTAAACTTGCTCCAATTTTTACGTGTATCAACTTTTCTGAAAGCTGAAGTTGTCGAGATGGTACACTAGACAGATCATTTGATTTTCGACGCCATTGTTTATATAAAAGCACTTAAGCAGGAAAAAACGTAGGAAAACATACAATCTCACGATTTCATTATTTTATAAAAACACAGACGACGTTTTCTACCAGAAAAAATGATTTAATCGAAAAATTACTAAACACCTTTTTTGTTGCCTATTTGATTTACTTTCTTACATTATCATTGTCAAAACTTTTAAGCCACTTTTAAACTTTCAAGGAATTTTAACTTTTGAGAGTATTTTGCTATAATTTGGTTATAAATGCACGTAGAAACTTGAAACTTGATAATAATACTTATATTGGACTTACCTAGACGTGATGAAATTGGACGCCCTTTTTTTTTTAATAAGCGTTTTGAAATCAAATTTAAACGATAATCGCAAAAGAAAATACAGCACTTCAAATTATGCATTATCGTCTTTCGTCAAGCAATGGTTTATCGTTGCTTACAGATATAAATGAAATAAACTTATGTATTGTACCTTCCCAACTTCTCACCTACAACAGTGACCACACCCTCTTTTTAATCTTTCAATCTTTTTTAACCTAAAGACCGAGGTTTTCCTCATTATCTCGAATATTAATAAGAATTTCAAAAATTACCTCTCTAAGTACCACCCCGAGAACATTTTCTTTCAGAAAAGGTGCTATACTTGATAATCGGAGTATTCCTGGTAGAAAAAGTGTTCAAATAAAAAAATTTTAAAAATAAACATTGTAAAACCAATAAATTCCTCGTTGCACTCAGAATCTAAAGATAAAGAAAATTGTATTTGTTTTTTTTTTTCACAAATTACTCATTATTAATAGTTATTGGTTTGCAACCCAGATAAAAGTGGTGGGTAACAGTTTCCGCCCCACGCTACCCCGCGCAATAATGCCTATGGCCCACCCCTTTAAACGGCGCCACTGATACAGACAGATAATAAACATTTCTCATAATATTTGTATTCAAAATAACAATAATAATCTTTGTAATTTGTAACATTAAATAATAATATTCTCGACGATTACATAAACGTGAAACTGTGAAATGTAAGAGAAAAAAAAAAGAAACAAACCGTTGAAGTATTTTGGACGCGTGACGACTCCGGTGTTAAACGCGGTGTCGTTTTGAATTAAGTATACACGTTAATACAATATTATTATATTTTCGTGGAAAATGTAATTGATTATTTATACTTGAATTATAATCCCCCCTCCTCTTACACCTGCCCGTCCACGGTGACCGTGATAACGACGGACTGGTAACATTGTCGATCCAATAACGCCAAGTGCCAATACTTTATAATATTATATAAAACAGTCGAGTGGTCCCGGAGGCCGTCACATTATTTGATTTTGCGTACGCCACCGACAACGTCCAAAGTCCAAAGATGATACGGAATTCGGTGAGTAAAATATAATGACATTATTATTATTACGTTCGCGAATGTTTGGACAGTATTACTTGTTTGTGTTTGTTTTTAAACTGCATACACCGGATGCACGGTCGAATGACTCGATTGCTATGGAAAAACGAATAAACACGACCCGTTATTATTCGAGATTTGTCGTTGAACCGTTATAATTTTTCCTAAAGATTTTTATGTTCTCGGAAAACACTTTTCCGGTAATCAAAAAACACTCCGATTTTTTTCATGCACGATGCCTTAAAAGATATTTATTTTTCACCCTGCGATATTTTATATAAACACGTTTTCTATTTGTAGATTCCAACACTTTTACTGAAAATTGTTTTTAAAAAAACTGTTAACGAAATATTGCGTCGACATATTGGTTTCATATTTGTTAATTGATTTGTTCATTGCTGTGTTGCATTGGCTATTACAAGCAGTGCCTGATTTAGACGAGTACCTAGATGACTATAGTCACCTGGCCTTCAATTTTGAGCGGCCTTTTATTTTTCGTTTGTTCGTATTTTTTTGAACACCAAAACTTTTTATTTCTTTTTATTGAATTATAAAATTTAAAAACTAGTAAAAATCGTCATTACTCATAATATTATAATATTAAATATTATCTTTGAAATCGATATATTAACCACGTTACCGCGGATCTAGGTTTACGGTTTTAGATAATTATTTATTAAATTATATCTACAATCTATTTATATATTATTTAGTAGGTACCTAAAACCATGATATTAACATACTATGCTATCATATCCACCATAAACATGATCCTGTTATTCGTTGATATTTGTCTTTGACCCCAAAATTTGTAAATCAGGCACTGATTACAAGGGAGTAGGGGGAACATGGCTAATACTGTCGAACAGATTACCGAGCTCCGAATAAGTTTTTGTTTACAATGATTTATCGTTGCTTATTTATTACTATATAAACTAAATAACCTTGTATTCTAAACCTTAAACCCTGTCCACTTATATCCTTATATCCTGCATCACTCTTTTACCCATAGTACAAAACTTAAGTCCGCCTTTTATCCCGGATAATCATAACCTGAATCATAGTATCATTATATGTAATTAGACAAAACAAAAAAAAATTTAAATCGATTGATATTTACGTCAACGTAGCGTCCCAGTTTAATTATTTTAATTTTTGCACTTTGTTTTCTACAAAAAATATTGCTCAATAGAAAAACATCAAGAGATCTTTTGTATTGAAAGTTAATCTAATTCATACGTGTAAATAAATCGTTTTTTTATTTTCTTTGTAGTGTTTTTAAATAATTGAACAAAACTGAAAAATACTTAAAAAGAATAGAAAAATGTAGGGAAATAATGTTTTTATTATTTTAAATTTTGTTTTTGTAATTTATTTCAATCAAAAATATTTGTAGAAACTTGAAATTTTGACTACAACTTATATTTGTTTCTTTTCGACGTCGTAAAATGTTCAAAACATTTGTGCCATTTTTGAGGTATTTATAGATATTTTAATTTTGCGTATTTTTATTTGGTAAACACTCAGTAGATAAAATTGTTATGATTAACAGAAATGCTTGAAAATTCGACAGTAGGTACATTATAAGTCGTACTTAATTAGTGGTAAAAAAAAATTAATGTCATTACATTAATTTTTTTTTTTATAAGTTTTAAATTCAAATTTTGACAAAAATCGTAAATATTATAGCCTTTCAAAACGTGTAAAATCGAACTTCGCTCCAAATCGTTTTTCGTTGGAAAAGGTTTATCATTGGTTACAATTATAATAAATAACTTTATGTATCCTACCTTCCTAACTACCCACCCATAGCAATGGCCACACCCGTCCCCAGTATCAGCTCTTTTTTAAAAATATTTACATTCTAGTAAAACATAATAAATAAATGTAATTTATAGAAAAAATGTCAATAATAAGAACGTCCTATGACATTGTAAATTCTCCGACCTAGGTACCTGATGTGTCATTGTTTTTTTTAAAACACAATTCATTTTCGTACTTAAACTCTGAAAAAACCGCATTTTAAAATGTGCAAAAATATTTTGCAATTATCTCGTGTTTTATAAGTACGCGCATATTATGTACTCCATTATTTTTAAAAAACCGTAAGTATCGTAATTATTATTATTTGTACTAGGTATAAAATATTATACCAAGCAGTTTAAATAGGATATATATGTACACAATTATCTATATCTGGTAATATATTAAGAAATATTGGTACATTTGAATGGTTTGTTGAACATCTTCCGACCGTAATGTATAATTTTAATTTTCCATAAAGAAATAACTTAAGGATAGTATTCCAGCGACGGCGTAGTGGACCGTATCATGTTCACAGATACCTATATAAACTTACTCGTATTATGCTGATAAAACCAAGAAAGTATCAACTGGTCATTACAACTTTAATAAGAGAAAAGATAAATTCAGCTCACATCTGGAAATTTCTCGGCTGGTCTTTTTGATTTTTTTCACTTTACAAACGTACGTATGGAAAAATAAATATAAACAAGTATATAAATTTACATATAACCCTTTTAAACGACAACTTGAAATAGATTTGTTGAGTAACTATGAAAATATAATGAACAAAACATAAATTACAAGCTTAACATATTAAACTTAACTTAAGGTTTAATAAACAAGGATCTAAATATTATTATTAGATAATGAATACAATATTAATACAAAGAATTTAGAAGTTGGTCACAATTGTTCAAATTACGCTTAAAATATAATTTTTTAAATGATTAATGTTACAATAGCTGGTAATCGATATTGTATAAAAGCCAAATACCGTACACTCACTGATTGTTCACTACAACCAAAAAATGACAAAAAGCATAAACTTGAAATTTGGAATAGCAGTTCCTTTAATATCTATGTGTGCAATAAAAAGAGATTTAAAAAAAAAATTGAGTTTAAACCGATTCATTTCGCATTTAACCGTAATTCGCATTGTTCAGTGTACCTGGGACCCGTCAATTACATATTGACACTGCGCCGAAGATGAATCATATCCCAACCTGGTGTGAACGTATCCGTACCAAAAATTCTACCTCATAACACCTGTTTGAAAATTGCAGCTTTAATAATGCTACGACATTTTTTATACATACTTGGGTGTAAAAATTGTTTTATTGTAATTTGGATTACTATTTTATTTATTATGTTAGTAAAAAATATTGTATTACTAATCCAATTAAGCATAAACAGCGAATACTATTAAATAATATTATTTATTATTTTATCTTGCTTAATTCTTTTGTAATAATTACAATTATTGAGCGTTTCAATAAAGAAAAATGATTTAGTATATTAAAGTGTGTTATTTATTGATTATACAATTGGCATTTATCACGCGCACTTAATATAAATGTGATCAACGATTAAATACTATTCCGTGCAAAACCTGGTAATATTGGGAAATGTGTTTTGTGTTTGTAAGATACGAATAGTACCCACCTAGCAATAAATTTAATTTTAGTAGTTTTACGAAATAAAATCAAATACATTTAGTTCTTTACATATAAAGTTTATAAAGGAAATCTTGGTAATTTTAATATTAAATTTATAATTGTATTCAAAATATCAAAGTAGCCAATTTTAACTTTATTTATTCAAATGGGATCATTAGGTTTCCCCCAAATTTCAATACCAGAACTAAATAACCATGACACGAATAAAATGTATATGGTTTTCAATTGCTGCTTTTCAAATATATATGCCATACATTTCTTACGTAACTAAAAAAACATTTTAAAAATAGACTGATATCCTAAGCACAATGGGTGGACCACTGTTGTAGGTGAGAAATTGGAAAGGTAGGATATAAAGGGGAATTTAATGAATTATACATATCTATACACAACGATTAAACATTGCTAACGAAAAATCCGGATTCTGAGTGGAGTTTGATTATACATGTGTTAAGAAGTTGTATAATATTTACGGTTATCCTCAAAATTTGATATTGAAAAAAAATTCTATATTACACTCAATTTTAGAGGTAACTGTAAATGTATTGAACCACTATATATATATATATATATAATATAATATCTAGTTAAAAAGCCGCAACCACGATGGGCTTTTGTACTTTTTACAGCATAAAAAGGTAGGTGGGTATAATTTTTGTGACGAAAAACAATTATACTTACAAGATGTACACATGGCTTAATAAAAATACGATTTATTATGTACTGCAGGTGGTATGTTTGGTCGTCGTCATGTGTACTTTGCTGACGACATTTGACTGCAAAACCGTGGTTGGCAATACCGCGGATATAGCCACGCAGAAGAATCTTAGAAATCCATCGACAACAACCGCCAACAATCGAATATCCGAGACCCGACAGGACTCGGTTGTCACTAATCGGATACTCAAGACCCGTCAGGTCCCGACCGCGTTGCTTGAAATCCCAGTCACCTCACCTCCGTTGCGAGTGTACCAGGGAAGCACTTTGAAAACGTACCCGTTCACTTTGGTAAACACCAATTATCCCACGTATTTCTCATACGCATACCCCGGAAATTTGGGCTACACGTTTTTCCAATGACGACCAGTGCAGTTCTCTAAATATTATTTAGAAAAAATAAAATACACTAACTATTTATGCTGAATAAAAATCCTAAAATTTTCTCCCTTAACCCTTAAATTCCCACAAATTCTGATAATCGTGTATCTACACTTTCTGTAACTACACGCTTTCAAGATATTCGTTCGGTTATCGGTTAAACATTTTTTTTATACCAGTATAGTTTTTCTGACCCGCCTCGCGACATGGGTCAAATACATTATACCGGTATAATCCACTTCTTTTTTATTGTCCCCATCGTAATTATTCCCCTATTTCATATTCTTATAAAATGATCACAAAATAACTTATCGTAACATTTATGATTGAATTATTTTCTACATTATTTTTTCTTAACATTGATATTTTTGAATTATGAAGAATAAAGATGGAAAATTCAAGTGACTACTAAATCGAAATTCGAAGGTATGTGTACGGTGTGATAACAAATAAGTATGGACTATAGAGGTGATAATGATATTTTGTACCAACTACAAGTCAACGAATTTTTTGATATACCGGCATAAATATAAAATACCGGTATAATTATTGGAATATACCAGTATAATCAAACGAATTTCTAGTTCGTGTTTCCTTTTTTGAAAATATCATCTACTCTTTTCGTTTACCGATTTTAATTCTGTTATTTTTCCCTCCGGTCAATTTTTGTTATTAAAAACTCCTTTTCCGCCGAATTTTAGTATTGTTAATATTATTTACAGTCAGTGTTTTTTTTAAGTTAATTGTGATTTTTTTTTTTCTTTGATATTTAAATATTTGTCATAATTTAAAAATTGTATGCTCTTCTGAAATCAAATAAAAATATTTATTGAACAATTTTATTGATCAATGAATCAACACGCTTTTTTTCAATAATTTAAACGGATTTTAATTATCACGAATTGTATTTTAATAATAGATTATTTCATTTCTGTTTATTTAATTTGAATAATCATTAAGTAGGTTAGATTTGATTATGTTATCTATGTTACTGTTATTAATACTATTGTCACAGTATTATTGTTATATAAATACAAAAACTAATTAGTTAAAAAGCAAAAGAGTGCGAAGAAAGATGAATGACAAATGATGTAGGGCTGCGCGATTATTTTTTCCCACAATAATTGATTATTCTAATAGTTTTCGATTATTCGATTATAATAATCGATCAATCGAAATAATTACGCAGCTCTACTCCGGTGTGATGGGGGTAGAAGATATGAGATAACAGCAGGGACGAAATGGGAACAAAATCCATGCCGGGATAGATTGAAATGTATCCAGGCCACTCAATAAAATACGTACCAATCAAATTTTTCTTATTACACTTGATTTCAGCATTTTAATTTAAACCCACAATAATTTATTTTCAATAATAATATATTATGTGTATACAAAAAAAGTTTAGTTAAATAATTGTATTATTATATTTAGATTATATTAAATTGAAAAATAGTTTCAAGCACTATTTTTTTGAACTAAGTAATTTAACTTTAGTTATAATAATACACCTTAGAAATAAAATCAGTTTAAGCTTCAAAATCAACGTAATATTCACAGCAAATGGTTTTACTTAATGCACTTTAAGTAGTGAGTGATACGAATTAATTTTACTGTGATATACTGATAGGTATACATCTATTTCATACATTTCTGTACAAGAGTTTTCGCTTTGCATCAACTTCAAGAGTGGTTTCAAGTAGGAAATTTTGTTTGGTTAGTGCAAAAGGAAAGTCATTTTTTTTTCATTTATCTTGTAGATAGGTACTTCTCTTGATAATGGAAAAAAACTAAAAATGAACGATAGCATATTTTATAATAATAATTTGTTTGCACAACAAATCGTGGGTTATTTTCGATTAAAATTATCCGAGTGAGCGCAGATCACCTTAGGTCTCTAATTCCAACTATAATGATTAATCAATATTCCCTGCTACTTACACGACATAGTTTTGTACAAGATCGGTATCATGAATACATAATTTGAAAAAATATTTTTTTTTTTTTTTGCTTTATTGGTGTAGGTACCAGCTACATTTTTAATTTAACTTTTTTCCTTAACGTTGGTGTCCATGCAGTACGATATGGCTACAATTTCTTATCATTTTTCTTGAAAACTGTGTACTATTACCCCAGCTACTCTATAGACAAGGCCAATCTATTAGTATAAAGGGGGTTCACAATAGTCTATACCGTGTCAGTGTCATGTAAGATAATTTTCTCTGATTGACTGAACCATGCAGTTTCATTAAGGTATATCGTTATTTTAACCACAGTAATCAAACGATCCCGTATAGTTGAATACACGATGTAGAGAAGATACATCTTCTTTGGTATTGCATTTTGGTACAAGCATTGAAAACGAAGGCACATGATTGTTAAAAACACAACACTACACTATACGGTGTAGTGTGAATTATAACAAATTAAATCTAATTCGTCATGGTGTGAATCCCCCTTAAGGTCTATGGCGTCTGGTAACCAAGCATATGCAACTCCCTATCCTAGACCTTGGTAAATGTGTACTGTTCATATCCACAGCTGTGAGTCTCACTCACTGATGTGCTCTAGTTGAAGTTAATGATTATATGTTTATCACTTTTAAATACAGTCTTAGTACTATTTGCATAACACCTTCACCATTTTAATGAACGCTCCAAACACTGGTAATTTATTATCTCGGAAATGTTACCTGATTAAGGGATTGGGGTTTTTAAGCTAATGTATACGTATAATATAATATAGCTATAGACAAAGACAGTAATTTTTTTTTTATATCTTAAGTATTTTTCAAAATAATTAGGAAAAACTAAAAAATCCAATTTTTTTAAAATTATATCGCAACAATTTTATTATTTAAAATTGTTATGGTCAATAGAAAGACAATTTACGAAAATAGTTCTTTTATTAATTTAAATTGTTTATTTTTTTATTGTTATTATTATTATTTGTAGTTTGTAGCTTTTTCTAGGGGTCAAATTTTCAAAATATTTTACCTATTTTTGAGCTATCTATAGACATTTTAATTTTGATAGTTTTTTAAATTAATTTATAAAATTGTTAGACCTAACAGAAATGTTCAAAAAATTGACAGGAGGTTCATTATAAATCCTACTTAGTGGTCAAAAAAAAAAATTGAGTGTAATGTAGTATTTTTTTTCTTAAAACTTTTAAAATCAAAAACAACACAGCTAATGTAGAACAGGTTAAGTGGCTTAAGGGCAATTAAGCTCAGGTCATTCTAAGGATCAAAAGAGACAAGGAGGCAAAAAATAAAACAAATTTTTGATCTATTGTACTAAGCTTAAAATGTTCTTCAACACAAGAGTAAAAAAATATATAATATAATTTATATGTAATACAACTTAAGTAGTTTAAAATAATAAAAACATAGTTAGCTTTTTAAAAATAGTAATTTTAATTAAAATTGTGTTATTATATTATGTATACATGTATACTAAAACTCTTAATTGGAGTACAAATATCAATTCTATGTCGCAAAGCATTTAATATGTTGGGTTTTATAAAGAAGCTATACAAATAATTTGGCACAAAGTGTTGTTGAATACACTATATTGTTCCTTGGTCCATTGGATAAGTTCATAGCAAGTGATTGTGTCCAGTTAGAATGTGTGCAACTCAAGTTTTTGTGAACCCTATGCTGGGTTTTCACTTAAAATTCAGCATTCACCATATGATTATGCTCCTGCAAGCTGCAAAGTTTGGATTAGACTCCTTAGATTGTAGACATGCATTGAATTTTAAATTCTTAAATAAATTAATGTCTAGTAAAGCAGATTATCCAACTTTGCTTTTTTTAGTTATTTTAAAAGTTCCTCAGTACACCACCCAGTCCAAATTACCTTTTTACACTCCTATTAGTGCCATCAATTGCATGAAAAATCAGCCTATTGTAAGGACCCTTTTGTTACTTAGTATACACTTTTCATAAATATTATATTCTTTATTATTAATTGTTAATATGTTATCCTTTCTATTTATATTTCTGTATTTTATAAATGTATCTTGTCCAAAGGGCCTAACCCGTATAAATTAATAAATATATGCCTAAACTACCTTATATGTACTCATTCCTTATTCTTATCTTTTCTAGTCACTCCATTCATCAACCTAAGCATTTTAATCTCTGCTACACTCGTTCTCCGTTCTATTTTTCTATCTACCACCCAACACTTTGAACCATACAATATAGTCAGTCTCACCACACTTTTCTAAAACTTAAATTCAAGTCACTTTGGAATCATCTTGTCACATTAAACACCACTTTTCTCCACTTTATCCTATATCTCAAATACCCATCAAAGCTTCCACTCATTTGTAAAAAAGATTCTAAGTAGTTAAAACTTTCAACCTCACCTATAACTGCTTATTATCATTAACTGCCTCGGCCTGTTCCTCTAAACATGCTCAGTGTTACTTCTTCTTATCCTTAGTTCCATTCCTCGAGTGGGACTCACCATTCCTCAAACCTTTTGTTAACTTATTCTATATTTTCTATATATATTCTATATTTTCAAATATGTATCATATACCATGATACCTCCTCTCATTTTTTTATTCCTACGCACATAGAAAATGGAATGGTCTGCCAAAATTTTGTTTAGAAGTCCTCATACTGTTATGATAGATAGAGAGGTATTATTCTTAAAGGAAGTATTATGATCCCATCTCATAGTGAGATTATTATTTATCATTATACAGTAGATTTTCTTTTTTGAAAACACATTAAACATTTATTATAGAACAGGTTTGATTAGAATATCAGTCCACAACATGTTTTTAAATTTTATATTTTCATTTTTAATGTTAAATTTACCCCTTATTTACTTCTTTAATCTTTTTTATTTTAAAAGCACTATCAATTTTAACATTTATTTACCATTTCTGAGCTCCTTCATTAAATCTGTCACCTATTATTTCTTCCAATTTTCTCTTTTCTTCTTGTTTTTGGTGGTCTAAATACAAGTTTTAAATATATATTTTAAACTCTTGAATACAAAGTTTTTCTTACACTTACATTTTCTTTCAATTTTATCATCATCCAAAAGTAATGATACTACTTCTTTTGGTTTTAAAGTATCAGGTTTAAGATTTCCACCACTTATTACCATTCTTTGTATCTATAGACAAAATTTTCATAGATTATTTGATATATAATTTTGTAGATTATTTGATAATATATTAACATCATACTTCACTCTTTTCTTTTGCTCTCTGTAATATCCGTTCTTCAATTGAGTTCTGAGTTATGAGTCTATATACAGTAACCTAAAAAATCAGTATTTATAAATAAACAAAACAATATTCTTTCTTCCTAAAACATGTCTAAATAACTAAAATCTTCTTTTGGGTATTGGCTGATCAGTTATTTAAAGAGAAAAAAATCTGGCTAGAAAAGTGAAATTCACCAGGGAAAGCAAAAATATGAATTATTCAATTATTATTATGCCTAGAAACAGAAATTAAGTATTTAAATTAATAAAAGGCTAACTTGTTTAGTTTGACCAAGTCTATGAGCTCGATCCATTGCTTGTTGATCAACAGTAGGATTCCAATCGCTATCATAAAATATAACAGTATCTGCAGCAGTCAAATTTATTCCAAGACCTCCAGCCCTTGTACTTAATAAAAATACAAATATGTCGGAACTAAAGCAATACATCATACATACATAAATAAATAAAGTTAAAAAAATATATATATGTATATGTGCAAAACAAACAAATAAATAAAAAAATAAAAACAATGCCTAGAGTATTATAAAAATTGTGTGTACATTAAAAGTTATTTTAAACCACAATAAGATAACATAGATTAAAGAAGTTTTATTATTATCTAATGATTTTAAAATTATTGATATAAAATATTATTTTGTAAATCTGTTTACATTCAAAATGTTTTTATAGTTTTTCTTTAATGTTTTTAAAATTTTCCTTAATTTTATTATAAATATGCAACTCTTCCAATCAAAATTAATACAAACAATTTCTTGGCTAATCAAAATAACAATAACATAAAATAATTGTTTACATTTTTTAATTAAAAACATATCTTATTAGTACTCAATGAAAATAAATATAATTTACCGATTTTGAAAATCAGCAACCATGTCTCTTCTATCAGATATTTTTGATGAACCATCAAGTCTCTTATATTTTAGTTTTTTATACTGCATATATTCCTGTAAAGTATAATTCAGAGATGAGTAAATTACTTAACATTATTTAAATTATTTTTCATTGCCTCTAAAATATCAATCATCTTTGTCATTTGTGAATAAATTAGAACTCTATGATTTTCTTTTTTTAACTGTGTTAATAAATTGTCCAAAACTTTCAATTTTCCACTGTCAGTAACCAAACTTTGCTTGTCTATAAAACAAGAATAAAATTATCTATTTAATTTAGAGATGGTGTGCTTTCATATTACCAAATATACTGATATGAAACCATCCATTCCATGGTCTTGAAGAATTTAAACCTCCTACATTTTCACATGACCATTGATTATGACTGAAACTTGAATCACCATTATATATTAGGTTAAAACCTTTAGCAGAATTACATGACTCATGCTGTTGCCAGACATATGCAGCAGATCTACTGCCAGGGACCCATAATTTGCGACCTTTTGTTGTCACTTTTGGAGAATAAAAATACAAAAATGAAGGTAGTTGTGTTGGTTGACATTCATATATTTGTAGTGGTCTATGTTTGTAGTGGTCCAAAGATAGATGTTCAACAAAAATGTTCTCTGGTGTTATATTCATGTCAGAATTCACCTATGATTGTATTAAAATAATTATTTTTAAATTATATATTTTGACATGCTTAGGATTAACAAATAAATTTTTACTTGTTTAATTTGTTGTACTTTTTGTCCCATAGTTTCATTCTTGTAGTGATGAGTATGAGTCATATGAGTAATAGTGCACATATTTAAAATTGGAGAAATAAATTTGAATAACTCTGGTATTTGATTTTCCACAAATAGCCACAATATACTATTTTTGTCCCAAATATTTTTCTCTTGAATCAAGCTATTCATTTTTTGTTGAACTAAAATATAAATAATTCTGAAAATAAGTATCAATATAAGATTTGTTTAAATTTATTATAATTAAACATATATGCATAATACCTATTATATAGTCCACCATTTGTTATTTCAAATAGTTCAGTAGGTGACATTTTTAAAAATCTAATAAAGCAAAACATGCTACAACTGATTGATTTACCTAAGAAAAAAATATTAAATATTAGGAATCAAAATATGTGTATTATATTTTCTAGGAATATAATGTTTACCTTTGTCTATGGGATAACAGTTATGATATACTTGTTCTACATTATATATACAAAATTTGTTAGCAAATAAATGCTGTTTGCTCAAAAAATTATATTTTGTTAAATTATCAAAATAAATTAGTTTTGGAATAGTATAATCTATTGGGTGAAAAAAAAAAGGTGATCTAGCAATTCTTCTTTCAAATAAGTCTGGATGATTACAAACCTTGAAAAAAATCAACATCTATTACAATAAAGTTATTTAAATATCAAGATTATTAAACCAATACAAACTTTTCGAAATTGCATAACCAAGTTCATTAAATTTAATGTGACATTTGGTGAGGATTGATAAGAACCAACTGAATGCAATAAATCTTCAATAAGAATCTTTTTCTTCAAAGCTATGTTTAAAAAAAAAAAATTATTCATCACTATTTTTAATTTTCTTAATATTCAGTATGTTTGTTTTACCATTATAAAACATTTTTTGACGTGAAGTAAGAGGACAGTACATCAATATTTCAATTTTATCTGATAATTCATTTTCAACATCACTTTTTATTCTTCTTAACATGAATGGTTTTAAAATCAAATGTAATCTGGATAAGTGTTCTAGAATTTTAATACATTTTAATGTAAAGATATATCTAAGAAAAAATTATAATACATATAAATCATACCTAGAGCACTTACAAATAATATTGTAATAACATTTAAAACCCGAAATCCACAAAACATTAACTTATTGTTAAATAAATACAAATTTCAATCACAATTTTATCAATAAAATTTTGATATTTATGTACTTAAAATAACTGTAATATGTATGCATTTAAAAAATCATAAAATATGCATTTTTAGTGTTTAAAAACACCAAACTATACACAAACAATTTTATTTTAGCTTAAGTATTTAATTTTTATATGTAATATTTTTATAGTAGTTTTTGTATTTATTATTTTTAATATTACATATTAATTACATATTGATTTACAATAAAAACATTACAGTGTGATACAATGATTTTTTTTAAATTTGTTAAGATTGTATGTTTCTTTAATTTATATTTCTGTATTACATTAAATTGTTTTTAAAAGAGTTCAAAAATGTAAAGATTTATACATTTATATTCATAAAATCCTAAAATATGCATTTAAAATACAAAACCATAAAATAGGCAAAAATATGGAAAGTAAAAATAGTATTATTTGATTCAGTAGAACATGAATCAAATTTGTATCCAGGTCAGCATTAAATTGGATAAATAGAAAAAACATGCAATTTCATTAACATCCAAACCCTAGTAATCAACTATGTAAAACCATATAAACCATATACATAGAATATTACGTTATAAATGATTGTAAATAGTAATATTTATGAATTATAATTAGGGAGCAGATTTATATGTACTTAAAATCATCAAAAAGCACTTAAAAATATTCACCTACAACAGTGGCTGCACACACGTACAAAGTAGGTCCATATTTTCTTTAAAAATGTTTTTAAAGACCTTATTTATTTAAAAACTACAAGTTGCAATAATAAATTATGAATGAGAAAAACAACTATATAATGCAATTGTTGCCTTACTTTCATCAATGTCAGTTTTTTTTTCCGCATGACTTTCAATATCTTTTGAGAACCATTCTGTAAATTCATCATGGGAATCAAACATTGTTGGCATGATAAAATGCAACAAAGCCCAAAATTCTGCCATACTATTTTGCACAGGAGTACCAGTTAATAACAAACGATTACGACATCTAAAAGTCAATAATAGTTTCCAACGTACACTGCAATAACAATCATTTTTTTAATAAGTTATCTTAATGGATAATAAAAATGATTTAATACCTGTTAGCACTTTTAATAGCTTGAGCTTCATCAAGAACTAAATATTGCCATTTAATACGATTCAAATATTTAAAATCGCTCACTATTAATTGATAATTTGTTATAACCACATGAAAACTAGCTTCTTGTGTGTGTAAGCCTTTTTGATCCCAGAATCGTCTCAAAATTTTTCTATCCTGAAAAATTATATACATTTTAAGATATTTAAAAATTAATGATGTAAATAAAACCACTATTATAAATAGTATATACTTGTAGAGTTCCCCAATATGGTACAACTTTAAAATCAGGAACAAATCTAGCTATTTCTTGCTGCCAGTTATGAAGTGTAGATGAGGGAGATACAATTAAAAATGGACCCCATATATCTGTAATATTAAGATGATAGAATTTTAAAAGATTATTCATTTATGATGTACAATGTATAATTTATATTTTCATTATTTAAAAGAATTAATGATAAATAATATAATACTCACTGTATGTTTCTGCAATATGGCCAAAAAAAGCAATAGTTTGTACAGTCTTTCCCAATCCCATTTCATCCGCTAATATGCCATTTATTCTCTTAATGTATAAACAGAAATATCATTATATATTTTGAAAATATTATATCTTTTTGAAAAATAATAATTATACTTGATCATAAAGATTTGCAAGCCAATTCATTCCTTTTAATTGATAATGTTTCAAACTGCCTTGAAATATTGTTGGTTGTGGCCTTTCCTCATTAGGTGAAGTTGTATTGATTTTTAAGTCTGGGTCATTAAATTCAATAGATTGCTTTGCTTGAGCATCTAATACTTTTTGAATGTTTTGTAATGCTTTGTTCTTATATACTTCACTAATAACAAACACAAATATAGTGATGAATATTAGTAAGTTATAAAAACAAAGTGTACTATACAAGTGACTACATAACTCTTTCAAAATAATCTAAGTTTTTAATAGAATATAATAAAACAAATTTATTACTAAATTCTAATAATTTAAAACAAAAATTTACTGGTAAAGGCAATATTTTACCGAATTTCAAAAAATAAAATATATTATTAATAAATTTTGAATATTATTTTAAAGTTAAACTATTTATTCAGTCTAATATAACTTGAAGTTGTTATTTCATACCTATTATAATTTTCAATATGCATAAATCTAGGTATTTTTTCTTCATCTAATTGATTTAAAATTCTTAGTTGTTCTTCAGCAGAACTTAGTCCTAGTTTTCTTGACATAAAATGAGCATATAACTCTGTTTGAGTGATTAAGAAATTGAATTTTCTATGTTGACGTTTAACCTTAATTTATTAAAAATACATAATACAAAATATTATTAAATATCACACAAAAATAAAAAAAATACAACACAAATAAATAGTTAACTTACTTCCATCAACTCAAAATCCATTTTTCTTTGTTCTTCAGCTTGTTTCTCTTTTTTCTTACATGTTTCACGTACATTACGATCATACCTCTTCCAATATGTCAACATTTCTCGTGTTAAACGTTTGGCACGCCATACATTTTCTTTTGTATTTTTTTGATTCTAAAATATATAACTCAATATTAAAAAAAGCCGATACTGGGGACATAGTCAACGTTGTAGGTGCAGAGTTAGGAAGGTAAACTACACAAAGTTATTTGATTTATGTCTGTACAATTGTTAACGGAAAACAATTCTGTGCAAAGTTTGGTAAATACCATATTATTACACTCAATTTATTTTTTATTTGACCACTAAGTAGAACTTTATGAACCTCCTGCCAAATTGTGAAGCATTCCCGATTTTCCTTAATTGTTAAGAAAACTGAGGAAAATCAAACAAATTTCTTCCACATAAGACAATATTTTTTTTTGAAAAATATGCTATTTTTGAAATTCGGACAAAGATTTCTGTAGAGAAATCTAATCTTAAAAATTGTAAACAATGAAATCATTGCAATGTAATTAGAAAAAAATTTTTTTTTTTTTTCAAATTTTTCAATTGGAGCGCAATATTTCTGGTAAAAATATATTTAAATATGATGAAATTAGTGATGGCGCGCCATAAATATTCGATTTTTCTCAATTATTTTTAAAACTCTTGAAAAAATCAACAATATCAATACCTCTATACGCAAACTAGAGAAAATTACCTTTCAGAAGAAGTGCTACACTCTATATATTGGAGCAAAATTTCCGGTAAAAAAGTTGTTCACAGACAAAAAAAACAAATAGTAAAACCAATATTACATCCTCCGCTATGCTCCAAATCTAAAATATAAAATATTGTACTTAAAATTACTTGAATAGTTTTTTGACGTAAATGTTTCATACAAGACTGTGCAGTTCTTCGACATGTTATTAACATTTCTTTGTGATTATTATTTTTCCTCTTGTGTACCTATTAAAAAAAAATTGTTTAATATAATATTTTAAAATTGTAAACATAATATATATCATACAGTAGAACCTTGTTAGTATAATTTATAAAGAACCTGAGATTATCAGATTATTGAAATTATTTTAGTCTTCTGGCACTACTTTTTACCCCTATACTTGCTCCCTCATTCATACTATCAATTAAACACACATATTTTGTTAGATATTCAACCCTAAAAGATAAATTACTTAAACTGTTTATACTTTATATGCTCTTTGTTTTGTCCATTACCTCTATCATATATTAATCTTATTTCTTAATACAGCTAAAATGCCTGTTTTGTATTTTCTTTACTTAATATACTTTTCCTACAACACATCAAGTTCATTAACATATTTTGCCAGTGCCCATTTCCTCTTGACATTTTTTCAAATCTTTTCAATACTCTATCCATACCATATACTTTCCCTAAATCTATGCACATCATCCATAACTTATTATTTTCTCCTTAGACTTTTCCACAATATATGCCTTACATAAGATTGATTCCATTGATCAATTTCCCTAACAAAACCATACTTATATTCTAGACAGGTATACTGACTATGTGTTATAAATAAAATATAATTTATTAATCTTTTGATGTCATTACTTTTCCTAATTCTTTTTTGGACAAATTTAACCATAGCTTCTTTCTTTTCATACATAAAACTTGAGCTTGTTTTTCTTCCACAAAAGCTTTTTTATTTTCAAGTTTTAATCTTTTAGCTGTAGCATTTAAAGATGTTGTTTTCACTTTACTTTGTTTTTCATCCCCATCAGAATTCTTTAAACAGAAATGTATCAACTATTAACATAAGGATAAGAATAATTATGCATAAGGCATTAATTAATATTTTTAAATACTTTATGTTTATCTTTGGCTGTAGTGGTTTTTAACTTTCGTAAGTTTTTCTTTTTTTTCCTGGTTTGGTATTTATCAAAATTAGATAATAAGCCGGAACTATAATACCGAAATCGATTTTTCTGTAAAGTAAGTCAATTTTTTTAATAAGCATATATTTATTCACTAAGCAACTAAAACATCTGAACCACTTTTAATATTTTAATTATGATTACATAAACCAATAAATTATAGTACTTTTATCATGTATAATTGACTAATTTGTAATTAAAAGTAAACCAATTTACATTTTTAACAGTAAGGAATTTTTGTTGGCACTTTTTTTTAAATAAATGTAGTTTCAACATCTTTTGCAAATCTTCTTCAGTTACTATATCTTCGGAATCATCTGAATCGCTGCTTTCCAAGAGAAGACTTTGTAACCATAAACGATCTTCACCAACATTTGATAAATTATAAAAACGAGAACGGTCAGCAATTCGTTCTGAATCAGATAATAGTAATTATTAAAACTATAAAATATTATATACATCTTAAATTAATTAATTATTAAGTTATATTATTTTTTTGGATTGAATTAATAAAAAAACCTAAAAATAAAGTTAAAAATAAAAATTCAAACCTTCTGGAGTTTCAAAATCAATAAAATCACCATCTGAATCTGTATCACTTGAATCTATCCTAAAAATAAATGTTAATTATTATTATTTAAAATACTATGTGCAAGTAAATATTGGTCCACTATTTTATAATTGAATTATTATTAGTGTGATGTGATTCTTATGTAAGACCACTTATTTAATTACTTCTTATAAAATTAGAAAAAAACTCAATTTTGTAATAAAATTAATGCATACCCTAGAGGAGTTTTGAATATGTTTTCTACATAATTCAAGTACGGTTCAATATTAATAGCTTGATTAATCTTCTGGTGATATAATGACAAGGCAGGTTGATTCAAGGCATCATTAATTTCACCATACATCTTTAACATTTAAATAAAACCAATTATATACAAAACGCTATAAGCAGTCATATTTAAACAATAACAAAATTTTTCAAAACGACAAAATATAATAATTTAGTTAATGTATTTCCTACTGTTTTGACATTGTTTTTGATTTTGTTGTAAATTTGTTATTATTTTAATTTTAATAATTATAATGAATTTAAATTTTCCTTTCAATCAAAAGTTTGTCAATTTCATAGAATACCACGAAAATGAATAAGATGATATTATAATGTTTATAAAATATAATTTAATAAGCATAAAATTATAAATTTACTCAAGATCGGCTTACTTTGATTTATTAGATGAAGTTGGTTTCCACATACGATTCCAAGTAACAAAAAAGCAGTTCTCTATGTTTTAAATTGCATTGAGTCAGATTTGAACTTAGGAGTATACGTTAGATCTCAATCAATCTGTTCATCCAGTTAATTAGCTCTTAATATTCATATCATTCTTCTTGACTATGAAAATCATTAGTTCCTAACCTCAAAATTCTTATAGTTACTACTAGAAGTTAGGAACAAAACCCCGAAAACGACTTCAATGTTTCATTCTTCAAAAAAGAATTCTATAGATTATCTATAAACTATTATAAACTTAAAAACTATATTCTATAAACCTTGGGTGCAACCATTGAACTCTATATCCTATACCACGAATTGAGATGTACAGAATACCAAACGAACGTGTGATAAGTGAAGCTCGAACCTTCTAGCTTTTTGGTAAGGCCACTAACACCATCTAGTGTACATTTTACAAATTATGTCAATATTTATAATAGGAATTAAAGTCTAAACCCGTGATAGAATAGATATGCAATTTATTACACCATCTAATCCTCCAGTCTAAACTTTAAACTAGTTTTAGTTGATTTTGATACCAATTTTGTATAAAAAGCGCTAGCTGTCTTGCCAATCAGTGAGAACCGAGCGGACTCAGAAAAACATTTATAAAACCTTTCCGTTCGGTATCCTGTATATCTTAATTTGTGCCCTATACAAAGGTAATTATAATATTATAACTACCTTGCCCTATACTAAAGATTCCCAACCGGGTAACTTCGGCACGTTAGTGTGCCTTGAGCGTTTTCTAGGGGTACCACGAAAATTATGTGGTGTGCACAATGTGCCTTGTTTAAACAAAAACCCACTAGTTTAATATATGTGTAATTACACAGGTTATGAGAAATCTATTTTATATTTCATACTGATTTGTTTTCTATGTAGGATTATTATAAAATGATCACGCTACCAGTCATTTATATGACAAACCCGAATACCAGTAGCTTTATCTTAGCTTTATTTTTGTGGAGTAAAGAAGCTTATAGTTTTACAAAAATGTTTAATTTTTTCTATAGATAACTTTTCTACCAGAAATCTTGATCCGATTTTTAAGTGTAGAATATTTTCTGAAAAAAAATCTAACTGTGAAAGTACTTTAAAAAGGTAATGTTTTGATTTTTCCCAATAAATAAGAAAAACCAAGAAAAAACATGGAAAAACTGGGAAAACCGTAGGAAAAAGGAAAAATAAGTACAATGTCAAACAAATTTTATTAAAGAAACTGTATAATGCTGATGTAATTATTTTACCATAATATGGCATATATATTGTTAACAAAGCAACACTATCTACTGAACTCAAGTTAAACAGCTTTTTAGTTGCATGTTTCTAAGTTGAAAATTTCACTCGTTATAACCCAGTTTAGTATTTTGTTGACTTGCGATGGCAGTTCAGCAAATCTGCTGTTCAATAATTTCTTCAATACGCGTGCAATATTTAAATACGTTAGAATTCATCACGTATATTTACAAAATGTCATAATTTTCGTTAGTTAATAATCGTTAGTATCTCGTTAGTATTGGATAGTAGAACAAAAATCATCGTCATTAGATATTTGGTTTTTTTTTTTTTAAATTGGAAAACTCAGTAGTGGGGGGGGGGCTGGAGAACAAGTCAAAATCACCAATTTTAATAATTTCTACATTTTTCTTGAGCCAATGGTTAGTGTCCGATTAGTATTGGATAGTGTAACTAAGTTATTGTTAGTAGATAATTGGTTTTTTTTTTTTAATTAAAAAATTCAAATATGCATACAACTTTTCCCTGTGATTTCAGTGACGAATGAATCGTCTCTATTTTTTACCTTAATAAAACTGCATTTATAATATAATATATACAGTTATGCTATTTTCAATATTAATAATTATTGAATTTTAATAAATCGGTCAATACATTTCGCTTTGTAATTATTAATTATTTAGGTAACTTTTATGGTTTTATTTTAACGATAGGTAGGTAATAATAATATAGTATAGTAAACATAATATATATATAATAAAGTCTTTAAATTTTGATTTATAGTTTTTCAGATTTATTCAAAATATAGTATTAAGATATTAAAAAAGCAGGGCTTAATTACATTACAACTGTTAATCATTTTTCGATAATCCAAGTTGTCATTACTACCAGGGAGACTCCAGGAGGAGAGGGGAGGAGGGCTATGAGCTATAACGACTCCAAATCCGTAAAATATACTTTACAAAACGATATTATACTATCAATTATTACAGACACGCACTAGTGTGCACTTAGAGATATGAATCTAATACCTACTATCTATAGTCTATACTGTTAAGTATTAATAAACTATAAAATATGTTTATTTATTTAAACTATAAAATATGTTTATTTATACAAAGTCTGAAAAATTTAACTTAGTCCCTCCCCAATCAAGTCTCTGGAATCGCTCCTGATTACTACATCATTTTATGTGATGGTACTCTTACACAAAATGTGTATATAATACATTTTTTGAACACGATTGAAAAAAATATCTATACTTTTATTCTAAATACTTTGAATTAATATGTATCTTTTACAAGTCTGCTTACACCTAACCCCAATTATATTATATAATAAATAAGATTTATACGAATTTATTAGAAGTATTCAATCAAACATTTATTTTAGCAAGTTATTATTACAAACGTAAGTCTTAATTATTTATCATAATCAAATTATTATGATTGACATGATAAATGAAACCTTATTAAAAGGATTCCATAATCGCACATTGAGAGCAGTCTAATTAATGGGCAATTTAGCAAAATCTACCTTACGCAGACTGCGTAAAACTCACTTAATTTTGGTAATACAGTAAAATCACCAATATAAAATTAAAATATAACAATATTTAAAGACCCAGGCGTTTTTCATATTATTCCAAATATAAAGTTAAATACATCGTTTAGAAATAGAAATCTAATTCATTGATTTTAAATGACTATAACATTTCAAAAATTAATTTAAAAAGTTATACTAGGATAACGGAAACGAGTGCCGCCACTGTTACAAGTGAGAAGTTGGGAAGATAGTAGAGGGAAAATGTTATGTATATCTATAAGCAATTATAAACTATTGCTAACGAAATAACGATTCTGAGCGGAGTTCTGTAGTAGTAGTTCAATAGTGTTACTTTGTCAACAATGTACAGAGTGATTTATTAAGCATGCTCACTCCATTTTTTCGGTTGAATTTTACACCTATTAAAATTCTGATTTTTGGAATTTTTAAATGTAGTTCACAACATTAAGGAGTATCTTATGGAGACACCAACCTTAGTTTTTCAAATAAGAATCTACATATTTTAATAAAAAATATAAATCGGATGATTTTCTGAAAATGATAACATATTGTAATCAAAATTTGAACGAAAATTTTCTGAGTTATTCTACTTTAAGATAACACTAAAGATTACAATATAAAATGATTATTGAATGCCGACCGTTTCATAGGAGTTGTGTATAGGCAATTTCATGATTGGTTAAGTGAGTCGGTTACTGTTACGTTATATTGTTATTAATAAATAATAAAACTGGTGTAATTTTTATTATAAACGATTACGCCGATTCGAAGATATCAATTTCGATTAGCGATTACACGCATTGTTCCGTTTTACCCACAGATACATAAAAATTGTTGTTTTATATATCTGTAATTTTACCATTGTACATTGGTAGAAACCAGTATTTTTCTTAAACGGCGAGAACCACTGTTTGCAAATGCCTATTATATTAATAACTGTTATTAAACAAATATCCAAGACATTTTTTTTTATTTTCATACTATATATTTTTTTATATTGCACCTAATGAACAACAGGTTTTCCGTCAAAACTTCCACAACAATTTGGAAAATTTCACTTCATGTTAAATTTATCGGCTATCTTTACCCATTATTCAGCTTGTGGTTTCATTAAAACCATGTTTAAAAAAATTACAGCAAATAATAATAAGTGTTCAATTTTTAGGATTACATTTATTAGATTTATTTCTTAGGATTTAACATGTTTTATAATTGTTTTATAGTTAAGCATTATTTTAAAGCATATTAGTTTATAGATAGCTTAAAATAAGCAAGTTAATTAGTTTAAATTATTGAATAAAATTTAATTAAATTTTTTAAATTTTTAAAATAATAAAAAGCCAACTTCATTGCATAAAACATTCCATAGAGCCGTCTAAATTCCGAGTTTTAGTGGGTGAGCGTGTCACCCTACAATCACGCACCCTATTTTAGCCTATAGCTAGTAAGGAGGCACGGAGGTTCAAGAGGAATAGCTGGTACTAAATTTAGCTTATAGTGCACTAGATAAAGGTAAATTATAATTAGATATATTTTTAGAAGTTGCAAAAGCTTTTGACTCAGTGTCTCATGAAATATGAACGATTGTAAACTTATATTATGTGAGCCTAATACGAACTTAATTAATATGGTTTATATAATATACAGAGATATAAATCTCTATAATCAATTGTCATACGAAAATAAACAAATTAATAATAACCAAAATTTTAAGTTACCTAATTAAAAAATGGTATACAAATTTACTTCACAAATAGTCCTAACCTTTTCACCTTATATAATACCTAAGTATTCAACTATTTAAACTAATATAAAAATTACATTAATTTAAATAATTTAAATTTTTCTTTAGTGACAATATGTAAATCACATATTATGTTAAATATGTATGATCTTTATGTATTAGACGTATTATCATCATCATTTGTCAATTAAATTAGATATATTATATAAGACTCCCAAATCTCACAAGTATAGCTTAGAGGGATTTGGTATCAACAATTATATTAGTATATTAAGTATGTTTATACAATTGTAATATTTGCACAAAATGTTTTGATGATTAAATAAATGAATAAATGACTACATATAATAATATAATAGTTATTAAACCGCTAAAAAATATTCTCCACGATTCTAAAAATTATTAAAATCAATGATCTATAGGGTCGTCTGCATCAATGTTATAATATATATATATATATGTATGTATGTATTTTATTTATTTATGTAAACTATTTAAATGCTAATTATTATTATATATTATGTATTATTTTTTTCTCGCTACAGGACTATAATATTTTTATAATAAAAACAATGAGTATTCTATGTTGGATAGATCGATAGATTTTTTCAACTTTAAATAATAAGGCTATTCAAAATTACCATTTTTACAAAATATCAATAATATTTAATATAATAAAAAATTATAATTACTTTTTATTAAATCAGCTTGTTGTTTAATAACTCAATTTCTTTTCGTCCAAACTAACTTAACTGTTTTTAGAGGGTAAATCGATATTACTTATTGTTGTTTGTTTTTAATATATAACTATATGTGTAAAACATAGGTACCTACCTATTATCGTCGAATTTTAACCTAACCTAACTGAATTTTAAGGGATGTTCCGGCCGGAGAAACCCTTAACGGGGTACACTGTCTAAAATTAGACTTCATGGCCTATCTTTTGGTAAAATAAAATTTGTTCAGATTCATAAGCGTCTATTATTAATTGGGGCCCAAAAAAGGCTGTTTCAGCTGGTTACTGTGACGTTATGATACTACTAAACATTTTTTTTTTTTACGCCTCACATCGTGCATTATTGCACATTTATTACCTATCTAACACCTTTAATTCTATTATCACGCATTTTGAGAACAACTGGGCTCTCTTATTAAATATTGCTAGCAGAACATACGTTACCACAGAGTAAGTGAAATTTCACTCTTTCTGTGTAAAAAACATTTAAAATTATTGTTATAATTATATATTCATAAATGGCGTTGATTACCTAGTACCGATCATGGGGGAAACAATTCGTTTTCATCGATAAGCCATGATTTGTTAATTCGTTAATTCTTTCTTAGTCCGTGAACCACACAGTCTACACGATACACGGTGTAAGTGGAACGGTAATAATATGGGGCGTTGATATACCTGGTGGCGTTGACCGGCTGCAGTGGGACCGAATCGCCGTCGACACTTCTTAATTCAACTGTAGCTACACTGTTGAAAATAAAAAATAAAACAACATGCTGTGATATTCTAACCGCGTTGATAACCAATTCGATAAACACAAAATGATAAATAATTGACATTATGCCATAATATCAATTAAGGATTTTTGAACTTTGGTACACGTTATACATTTTGTAACTGAATCCTATCTCGGATTTTTTTTTTCTTATTGATAGTGATTTAAGGGATTTGTAAATTCTACTTCTATCGACTCTCGACGATCGGGACAATAATGGCCACAGTAATAGCCATCCGCCTATCTGTATATATGATTAAAAAAAAAAATCAAAATACCAAGGACCAAATTAACCAATGCACTATTGTAATTTGATGAACACACAGTTAATTCACTGTTGGATTATTTAGCCGTCTATTCTAGACACAAATTTGTTGTTGTCGTGAGTATTGTATAATAGTATGTTTGACGCAAAGCAAAAATGTTCTTTGTTCATCCAAAATATTGTCTACCTACCTAATCAAATATTATTTTCTTTCAATTGTAATAATGGTATAATTATACTATAACACTACAATATAAGTAGAATAATATTATTATAGAGTACATAAAGTAAAATTTGTATAAGAAAAGAAAAATATAAAACTTAGCATATTAGCATAAAAACAATTGTTTATTTGGTAAACGTTTGATTAAATTAGGTAGTCGTGCCTATCAAAACAAATTTGAACAAAAATGCTGTCTTCTCCTTTATATTTTTATAATAATAAAATTGTACACTGGTTTATAAAGTTAATTTCCAACAGGTTACATTTTCACTTACTTGTGATATACTGTGTTCATTTACTAGCGACTATGCATATATCAAAATTGTACACTGGTTTATAAAGTTAATTTCCAACAGGTTACATTTTCAGTTACTTGTGATATACTGTGTTCATTTACTAGCGACTATGCATATATCAAAGTAAAATTACGAACTTAGATTTCTGAACGGACACCCACTATCCCTCTGTAATACAAACTATTAATTATTTAGTCCACAACAAATTGTCCAAGTCAGTAACATGTAAAGTAAGTAAAATAATATAGAACACTGTATTTAAACTAATATCAATAAATAAATAATTTATTTGTCTAGGTAATTATGATTACTGACGAAACTGTCATCGAGGTCTTCGACAACCAAATATAATGCCATTTCTATTTCCTGGAAAACTAATAGGCATTCCTTTGGATGAATTATTCACAATTTACAAAAATAATTAACTCAAACAACAAACTTCCAAATTGTATGGGATATATAACTTTCAAAGTCTTACATTAATGCCAACAGAAAATAAGACAGGTTAAATGTTTAAAATAATAATTTTGTTTATTTATTATTTTAATTTAATTTTTATTGAATCTTTACAGATAATAATAACCTACAGCCCATAAAATTATCTAATAAGCATGGTAACAATCAGTCAAAATTGGTATGGATTAAGGAAGCTGGTCTTCAGGCAAGCGGATATTCAAAAAATGTTGAAACAAGCAAGAAGAATGGTGGATAAAATTCGGAGTTTTTATTAGGTAAATGCCACTGTAATGATTAATTTAATTTGAATTCAGTAAAAATAAATTAATAAATGAAGGTATTCTTAATTTAAATTCCTGTGAGAAATGATAAAAAATTACAACACAATTAAACGAAAAAAGATTAGGAAGTTTTGGAAGAGGTTATAACTGGGGTCACATGAGCAATTAAAGAATGTATATTACAATAGACATTACTACTCTAGTCACATGTACATAAAATG